CAGCAATGTCTCTTTCCAAAAATCATGATCAAGTTACTCAAGATAATCCACAGACCTTGAGAGCATTTTAATGTGGGAACTATCTTCTTTCTACTGAGCTACACCCGCCAACCATATCACTGCACAGAACTCATCCAGTCCACAGGCGGCGGACTTTGCAGACTACCAGGGAGTCTGCTTAAGGCAGGGGTGTCCAAGCTTTTTTGGATAAGAGCCAGATTAGATTATATGAAAAGCAAGCACAACCTTGGAGGCTAAAGTCTAGGAAGTGCCAAAAAACTGCAGTTCGTCAAATGGCCACTTGAGGTTGGCTCCAAAACAGCCAGTCTCCACAGACACCCATATTAAAATGCTCAACTTTACAGCAGAAATAAACATATTTACAGCCTGGTACAGAAAACAGCTTCGGTCTCTATAGCTTATTTCAACATTCATGACAACTGTAAGTGGGTCAATTTTTATATAACTCACGCGTTCACAATTGATCCAGTTTCACATATTTTAGGGAAAGGCCACTTGAGTGACAGGCTGTCTGTGAGGTGTCACAGCAGTCTATGAGTCAGCTCCACCCCTCACTCCTTCACTGCTCCACCCTCTCATCCAAGTATGGTTACTTCTGGCTCCAAAGATGGCGATGGGAGAAATGCTGTGCTCGGCTTTATAATTGCAATTCATAAACCAATAGATTATGTCATGGAAGCTACATCTATAATTTATACGCTCTATGGAAAATACCTGGGAGACAGCATATTTAAGCGAAGAAGTTTTCAACTTTCCACCACTCCTGAAAGCAGCAGCCCTCGCTGTTGACTATATGCTTTTTCTGTTATGGCACTACCGAATAAGAAGTGTCAGCTGTAAGGTAACCAATCACTTGGTTGTTTACCGTCTGTTTATTTGTTCTGCCTCTGTAGTTCCTACTTGGTGCATGTCTACAAACTGTGTGATAGTCCTGCCATCATGAGGTGAAAGGAAAAAAAATCTAAAAACCTGAATTCTGGGCGGCAGCACTGTTGCCTCACAGCAAGAGGGTTGCCGGTTTGATCCCGGGTGTGGGAGCCCTTCTGTGCGGAGTTTGCATGTTCTCCTCGTGTCAGCGTGGGTTCTCTCCGGGCACTCCGGCTTCCTCCCACAGTCCAAAGACATGCAGATTGGGGACTAGGTTAATTGATAACTCTAAATTGCCCGTAGGTGTGAATGTGAGCATGAATGGTTGTTTGTCTCTATGTGTCAGCCCTGCGATAGTCTGGCGACCTGTCCAGGGTGTACCCTGCCTCTCGCCCGATGTCAGCTGGGATAGGCTCCAGCCCCCCTGCGACCCTCAAGAGGATGAAGCGGTTAGAAGATAAATGAACCTGAATACTAGTAAAATCAGGAAAGGCTCTCTGATAAAGGTATGTTTTAAGAAGGGACTTAAAAGAGATCACTGACTCGGCCGACCTGATTTCCTCGGACAGACTATTGCAGAGCCTCGGGGCCCTGACAGCAAACTGTGTCCCCTGTAGCAAGTAGGTCCTAGCGTGTACGGGAGTGAGAGGTTGGAGATATCAGAGATCTTTTCTAAAACAAACTGGGGGACAGTGTGAAGAGGCTGAAACTGGAGTGATGTGATCACATCTCTTGGTTCTAGTTAAAAACCTTGCAGCTGAATTCTGTACAGTCTGGACTTGATTAATATATTTTTGATCCAGGAAAGAAGTGACCCAGGCACGAAGAAATGAAGGTGAGTAAAACGGTCTCGTCTTTAAAAGTTAAAATAGATATGTTTTAAAAAATATTTCTAAGATGATAAAAACATGATTGCAAAGTGAACTTACTTGATTAACCAACGCTGTGTGGGGGGGCCACATGCAGTATATTTACGGCCTGCAGACCAAATTCAAACAGCCTGCAGGCCACAGTTGGTCCCTGGGCCAGACTTTGAACATACCTGGCTTTAAGTGCAGACTTCACTGATTTAATCACCCACAATTCAGTGCAATACACACACTGTTGTCTTTTCAGCTGTTGACTAAAAAACAAAAATTAAATAGTTACTAAGTCTGAGATAATATTCAACCAAATCATGATACAGAAATATGTGCTCTGGAGGGAGCCTAATCAAAATGCATTTTATTACTGCAGCATATCCATTAGGAAAGAGGCTGTGCAGTGTCATGCCAAATATATGGGCTAACAGACTGGCTGAAAAAGAATAAAAGGCCTGTAAATAATGCCTAATTTATTTAGCGTCCTCAACTCCAGTCTCTACATGACAATGGGCACGTAGTAAATGCGACTGAAGTCCAGAGGGAGGAAATTTGGATTCAGCCCAAGACTGACCCCTACAGGCTTTTTTCTGACAAAATATCATAGCATACACATTTTTTAAGACAAGTGATTGGGAGTGTGTCTGCCGTGTCATGATCATGATGCTACTTGCAATTAGGGCTGCCACTAACGATTATTTTCATTGTCGACTACTCTGTCGATTATTTCTTCGGTTAGTCGACTAATCATTTCATCGAAAAATGTGTTAAAATGTTGAAAAATGTCGGTCTGTCTCACCCAAACCCCAAAATTACGTCATCTAATGTCTTGTTTCATACTAACACCAAAGGGTATTAGTTCACTGTCACAGGAGAGTGTGTAAAGCTGCCAATATCTGAACGTAAGAAGCTGCAGTAAGAGTATTTTGGGGTACTTTTATAGTACTTTTCTATGAAAAATGACTCAAACCGATTAGTTGACTACTAAAATAGTCACCGATTATTTTAATAGTTGATTAGTCATCGATTAGTCGACTAATCGTGGCAGCCCTACTTGCAATGTGACATTACAACTGATGTACAACCAAAGCTAGTTGTCATATAAAGTATAAGGAAAGATTTATGTATTTTTAGGTCAGTCAGTCCTGCTGGTGTCTTTCCTTTCATTTTTGTATTTTTAGTTGTCAAGTATGTCGAGCTTTGGTATCAGGTTTACACAATATGTAACATGCAACAAAAGGATCTGCAAAATGTGGCAATGTAGTTTCACCAATAACATCAGTCAAGTTCATTGTTTTAGATTTATTGAGGAAGAAAAAAGAGACAGTACAAGCATTGTTTAATATTTTCATACAAAAACGTGTGTTGGTGAAGTGTGGGAAGAAACAGAAGCTCTAATCCATCCTGGCTTTCAGGGTTCGTGTGGTGATCTTGTCTTTCTCACTGCCAAAGAAAAGAAAAGGCTGTCACTTGCTGCAAACCTGTCATTCCACTCAACCTGTACATATTGTTCCTCTACTACTGTACTTACATGACGTGTACGACGACTCCCATACCAGACACTGCATCTCTATCAACTGCATTCAGCATAGCCTGGGAGATGGTCTCAAACAGGTCCTCTGGTTCCTGCATGATGGAAAACATTTCTCAAATAACCACTCATGACTTTTTATCTAAAGAATACCTGTGGTCAGAATGGCTGAACCCTTGTTAGACCTCACATACTGTACAATAGTAGGTCAGTCTCTAAAAACTAGCTTCGGTGGAGCAAATGTTTAAATAGACAGTAGATATTCCTGACAAGAGCAGCAGATTTATACTCCTGTATTGAAACTGTCACTTGTCAGCTGTACAGAGAAACTATCATGATCTTGTAAAAGTTATATCTGACAATTTTAGCAATACTACATATTAAAGGTAGTAGTATCTCCATTTACATGCACATAGCATAAATATACACACTCACACAATGATCCAGCAAACATCATGTAGCAAGCCACCTACAGGCATATGAGTAGGGAGTATGTATCTAATCTGAAATTCTGAGCCTATCCCAGTTGACATTGGGTGAGAGGCGGGGTACACCCTGGACAGGTCGCCAGACTATCACAGGGCTGACACATAGAGACAGACAACCATTCACACTCACATTC